TGAATTAATACACCAACCACATCGTGTCATACACAAAGGACTTTCATGTTGCATCATGCAACTTGCGTGTTACCTTACACGAAGTTTGTGGAGTGTAGAGTGGTGCAAACACTGGTCCGTGAGGCCCTCGCCCGCGAAGCTAGTTACTCTGAGCCTAGTTACTCTGTGCTATTCTCTAGCCTATGTATTTACTTTGATGATGATGATGATGATGATGATGATGATGAAGCGCACTTGCGGCATGTCACATGCCTGTTGGAGTAGACTATCGATTAATCATCATTCTTCTCGCCGTTTGTGTTTTGTATGGTATTCGAACCTCGGATCATTCTTTACTTCGCCGATACTGCATTGTTCAACACCATTATGATGTCATCACATTGTAGTCCGTGGATTCCTATCAATAGTTGCATGTCACAATCGGTGGCAGACGGTGATGAAACAAGTTTCCTAATCGAATCAAAATGAGCTTTCATTGGTCGAAATTGGTCTTGTGTTTGACGAATTTGAACTTGTGTTCCCGAATTTATGAATTTCATCCACGAATTTGAACTTTTATTTTCGAGTGGTCTACGAAAATTGAACTTTCATTTCGAATTTGAGCTTTCGTTCGGTGAAAAATTCCTTTCATCCAACTAAAATCAAATTTCATTTATCTAATTTGTTGTTTCATTTGCTGGATTTGAGATTGAAAAGGTGTAGATATATCAGCCAGAGTATTTCTCACTTTCAGAGTTTTCCACTGCGCTAGGCAGTTTGCCGACATGATGTCGGCGACATCGACGGTTCAAGAAAGTAGAGAAAGAAATCTTCTTCGAGAGATTCAACTTCAACCTTACTAACTCGGTTTGTGTCGGCGATATCATGCGGGGTCATGTTATCGATGGGCGACCTATCCAAACCTCATGCTCCCTTTGGCACATGCTCGTTGCTGCTGTTGGGCCGACCTGTAAGATCTAACCGAACGTTCTTAGTTCATGTTCATGTAGAATGTTCTTAGTTCATGTAGAATTAACAAACCAAATTCAACGTGGTTAATAGTCAGTGACCATCAGTGCACGTCGATATGCTATCATACCAAGGCAGACTTCCATCCAAACACAACTTCATTCGTCGACCATAATGAAGTGGTCGGTCCAATACGAGCAGCGTTTGTCTTTCCTTCGACGATACCGCGGCCAGCCGGAATCGAATGGTCGCGAGCAACCCGAGTCATGGCCTCCAGACGATTTTGGGAGCCTATTCACCGTCCCATTAGGGTCACGTATGATACGTGCTCGGTTTAATGGGGCCTTGATGATGCGTGACATATCAACACAACTCTTCAATGATCAACTCTCTACAACGGATCACACGCATTCATGACTTAAGTAAATGGGTGGACTATAAAGATAGTGCTACTCATCTTGCTAAATGACAACAGTGCAATATGAGACAAAAGCACCATATTCAAAGGAGCCAACCGGCGACGATTATTATCTTATCTTTATCATGCTTGAGAAGAGTGAAGGATTCAAAGGCTGCATTTCCCGTACGTCAGTGTTAATCAAAGAGCCAAACATAGACAGTTCTTTAGAGGGTGATTCAATAAAAACGTTGAAGGTGTCATTACTACTACTACAATAATTGGAAAAAAGATTGGATTCATCGTAGGTGTTCATACATTGACTATTTTAGAAAATTTCAAGTCACAGCTCAGCGGTCGTGAATCAACTAGCGGTTACCAACGAACGTCACCGCGGCTTTGATGATGGTAATAGTGTGCGAGATGTTCAGCGTCGGTCTCAAAAAGGTATTCCAATGATTCGGGGCTCCACCCGCACTCAGTCACGGATTCGGGCAACATGGGTACGCAATCGGCCGAGATGAGATCGACAGGCATAGACTCCGAAGCCGCTGGAGCGTTAACGAAGGACTCGGGGGAACTGCAGGAGACCGAGCCAGTCGCTGTTGACGAGGCGGCGCCCATAATGAAGGAGTCATCGGGATCGACGATCTCGTTCAATAACCTCTCCTCGAAGCTGGTGAGAGCAAGCTCCATAGCCGCACAGGACCGTAGCTGAAGAAAGGACACAGAAATCATCATACCAACACGTCCCTCCTGGTTCGGGGAATCTAATTCTAAGTCTAGTCGAAACGGTTGCCACATCGGCAAGAAAATCGAATGCGAAGATCCACTGACAACGGGCATGCAACTTACAATGGATTTTATTTGCTCCTCGTTCAAAGTGTCGAGATTCTGCAGTATTCTGGCACAGGCTGACAATAGGAAGCCACCATTGTTTGGTTTGGACTTCATTCCAAGACGAGCCATCAAATTGAACAGTTGCACCTGCAACAAAGCGACTTCAATTCACTTGCACTCTGCCTGCAATTCCTACGATCTTCTCCAATGAGATCTCCTCTAGCTTGGCCACTGTCGAGAACTTCATCGCTGTGGCTTGCATGAGAGCACCAACTCGTCGACCAGCGCCTTCGTAATCTGGGAACGTCGAGGCGAGACTCCGTGGTGATGGTTTCAGCATGGTTCCTTCCGAACTGGCAGTCGGAGCTTTGACGCTCTCCTGAGAGGCAATGAGTTGCGCTATTTTAATATGCATAGGAGGAAACAGGTCACTTGGGCAAATCCTTGCATCACCGTGATGATATCATCAATTCGTACATCAGCCGCGGGGTTGTCCAGGACGTGACTGACAGACACTAAGTTAAGGACAGTATAGTAGTCGCTGCCTCTACCTGCTTGCTGTCACCAACATAGACAGATTGGTGTACCCAAGGCTGTGCAGAGGACGGAGAACCTTCGAGATGAGGAATCTGCCATACTTGTAGGGGGTCATCACCACATCAGCAGCAATCGCCTGAAAACAGTAATCAAAAATGAGCATCAAACACAGCGGAGCGAAGCAAAAAATAAGGCTTAGTCTGCTCACATCCATCAGCTGAATACAGGGGTACTTCAGCTTGGCAAGGGAACATATCACATTGCCGACCCCCTGACCATCGTAACGTGGCATCATAGTCGCTACACAAGCACATATCTCTTGCAGCAGTTTCTCATTGTAACTATCAACCAGCGCCTTCCCAGCATGAACAACAGGCGACAGCACTGACCAGTTGAGCCGTCCATAAGCATAGAGGAGGTTAGAGACCTCCTGTGGCTTAAACGTGTATAGACTGTTCGCCACTTTTTCGGCTACCAAGTCCATCAGCTCTCTATCACAATATCCAATCCGTGATAACCCATATAACATATTAGAGAAATTTTGAGGACGGAAGTGACTGAGCGGTAGAGAGCAGTCCGGCTAGCCTCAGAGGTGGCAGTGCTCTCACTCTAGTTGTGACTTCGCCGCCTCCACGATGGCTCGGACCACATCCTTTTCCTCGACCATCTGCAGTTTACCAATCGCCCAGCAAATGTTGGACAGTGACTGACAGCTCGAGGTCGGCGCCAACTGACAACAATATCGGGGTGACCGTGACCATCTCAATGTGTGTGGAGACTCGTTACGTCAATAGCCCTGCGAAGGACCTCTTTCACTCTAGGGTCGTTGGCGAGTACTCTCTGATTCTGTTCTTGGTTTTGGGTGATGCTAGCTAGACGGTGTATTAACGTGGATACGTTCACCGAGTTGAGCTCATCGAGGTGCTTCTCGACGATCAGGAGGAGACTGCTGATAGATCTAAACATGCGGAATCTCCGACACTCAACAGAGGGAACACAAATGACCGGGAGTTCGCAGCCGCAAGAATGCTTCGCTGGATTTCAAACTCATTTGCTGTGGCCTGACGCTGATTGCTGTGGCCTCCAACCCGTCTCGCATTGGGCTGAGGGCAACATAGTCCTCTCTGATGACAAGCAGATGACTACCCTGCAAGCCTCGAAACCCGGCGGTTCTCTTTCTCGACCAACTTCGCTTCTACAGACGTCACCGTCTATATCGTGATGCTGAGCATACCACAAGTACTGCTAGCTTTCGAGCCGTGTTTTAACGCTCACCCCGTTAGTGTCAGGAGCAGCCGGCGCGAGCAAGGCAGTCGGTGATACCATCGCATCCTTCTCCTCCTCCTCGCTGCTGCGCCTAGTCACCTCGTTCACTAGAACTGCAGCTGCGACGATCTCCGCGACGGCTTCGGCGGCCACATTCAGATGCACTGATTCCACTGTAGGGGTCTCGTCGGTGGTCTCCTCTTTTTCGGTAATGCCCGTCTACATATCAATAACCAATAACGACGATATGCGAATATATTCACCGGTTTACCTCTACTTCCTGTTCTTGTGCGCATTCTCCATGCACGGCAGCTCCTGTAGTGGCTATAGGAACTGGACCAGAGGACTCCGGAACAGCTTCGTCCACCCCCGCGACCTCTTTGGCCGGCACTTCCCCTGTAGTAGGAGAGGTGGAGAAGATGCGATAGAGCCTGAGAAGAGGAATGGCATCGACCAACACCAAGATGGAGTTCACGTACCAGATGATGAGGGCAATGGTAACTACGTAATATAGAATGTCGTTTATGTCAAATACCATCTCGCTGTGACTGTTGTTCGTAGTTACATAATAACTAGGAAGTTCGCAAGGAGTGGTATGAGAACAACCCAACACTCGAGGTTATTTGAAACGACGACGTTCATGAACCCTCCAGTTTAGTATAATTTCGTGGCGAGTGACGGGACACTATGGAATATATCACCAGCAACTCCGCAACCACAGCTGGGCAGAGGCATAATCACTGCATAATCCATTCGCCACCTTGAGACCCGTCACTCGGCCGAACTTGTTCGACGACTTATATCACCCGATAGTAGTTCATAGGGCACGGCATCGATATAACATCGATACTTTGCATCCCACGTATCAACGATGCAACACTGATCACTTACCGTCGTTTTTCTATCACCA